CGACAATGGATTTTATGTGGGCAAGATATTGTTGTATGGTAAGATCTTTCAACTGGATGTGATGGAGTTTGTTTATGAGTTGGATGACACGAGATCGGCTGGTGGATTGGAGACGCCGTTCAAGAACCGACCAAGCATCTTGAGCTGTGTTGGAGGAGAGGATGTATGGTAGAATAGACTGTGAAATCGTGGAGAATAGAGCGGAGAGGAGGTTGTTGTCCTCAAGCCGCAATCGTGCGTAGTCGGTAGAAGAGATGACGACGGGAGGAGTTGCTCCGGTTAGATGGCCGGCCTAGCCATTGGCGGTGAATTGCTGAAGAATTTGCGTCCACCAGATAGCGTAGTTGTCAGAAGTGAGGTGTGCGGAGCGAGGTTCTTGATGTTAAAGACTAAGAATTTGAGAGGGGGTGGTATGGAAAGAACGGTGGAGGAAGTTTCAAGGAGGGTGGAGGAGGAGGGAGGAAGGGAGTTAGCTGATTTTTTATCTCCCATAGATGGCTCTTGATACCATGAGAGAGGAGCAGCCAAGAATCTCCTTGAGCGGAGAAGACAGAGAGAGAGAATGGAAGGAAAATAGTAAATCTTATTAATGAAGAATGATACAACATGAGTATATATAAGAGTACAATGGCAGTAAAGTAAATACACAAGAATAGAGAGAATGTTTTGCTAACAGTATACCCTTTTAACAACAACGGAAATAACCCCCATATTATTATGTAAGAACAAAGTTAAAGCAAGTTTGATAGGAGAAAGAAAATAGAAGCCCAAGGGAGACAATTGATTAGGAGGCTGAAGATATAAGGATATTCAAAGAAAAGGTGGTTTTTCGATTAAGAGTGAAGGTTACAGAACTTGCAAGTTGTATGAAAATCAATGTTGCAAGATCGGAACACATCAATAGTTTTAAGTCAGCCGCCCAGCATAGCCAAACGAGCTCGTGGTCCCCTTCATGCACATGGAAAGGATGTCCTTCCTTGCCACTTGAGCAGCACGCTCCCTACTCCTCTAACCACCTGATCCAGGTGTCCAGCATCCAAGGCATCCATCTGATCGATCCCAACCCTTGGTTTTGGCTCCAAGCAGCTGAATAGGCTAAAGGGACGGGATTTGCTCATGCCAAGCCATCTCCCATTCTATTCACTCTCAGGAGCTCTACTGTTTTGTTTCGACTCCTTAGAGCTTCCTATCCATCCTCCCATTGATTATCTGGAGTTTGGAGCTTGCCGGAGAAGAGATCACCTTCAAACCGAGACGATTTCCATCCAAGCTGTTTCAACTCCCTACAGAATAGTCCTCCAGTCTCGAAGTCTTCAAGGACTTCGAGCGTGCACAATCCACGAATTCAGAGAAGTTCGAATCACTCAAATCCATCCATTATAGTAAGGTATATTTCAAACCCTAGGCATTATATAGGTTCTTAAATAAACCTTTCTACATTGCATCAAATTTATAAGAAACACTTCCCCACTCTTCCTGCAAAATAGGAATATCATAATGCATAGTGTTTATGTCAAATAAAAGAATACCAACCAACATTAACCTCATTATCATAGAATGCATTCAAAATCCTTAAAAAGAGATTTAATTTTCCACTCAAAGCAATGAGTGATAGTGGCAACGACTTCAACAATAGTTGCTTCAATGCACCCAGAGAAAATTCCATTGAGATTATTAAAAATCTCATTGAGTGGAGAATTTAGGGGAAGAGAGAGGGAGAAGAAGACAGCCGAACCAAATAGCTCCTTTAAAGTTTTCCCATGGCTCTAAGGGTCCTAAAAGAGTTTAAAACTATAGCCATTTGAAATATTAAGAAAGCTTAGACTTAACAATGTGAGCTATATCTGTCACACCCTTTTTTGACTCATTATGATCAAATTAGAGTGTAACAGAGAAGGAGAATCTGAACAGACATCCTTCTTAATAACTCTCATTCCAAATTGCCTCCATCAAAATTAGGGAGTAAGAAATAGCCTATTCAAAATATCCTAGCATATTAAGCTTTATACATAACAACTTAATAACATGAAGCATATGTAATATACATCAAATAAGATACACATCTCAAATAAAATACAGAGCTTTACTAACTTTTAAAATTTACATACATACCCAAAAGTCTCTTTATACACACAAAATGTATCTATACACAATAAAATAGTCAGCGTCCCTGTCTACTACCCCACTGACTCCTATCTCTTATTTGTAGTATAACCATTGCTAATGAGGTAAGGTTCAATGAATAAGAAATAATAGTAAACATGTTGACAATTAATTTAAAATATGTGTAAAGTTTTATGCTAGACATGAGAAATACATAATATTATTTTCTGTAATGTTTACTACTCAACACATTTATACTAGTGATATAATGGTTTTAGGCTTTTGCATCATTTCAGCTTTCTAATTCAAGGTTGTGTTCAAATTCCCAACTTTCATAATTGAAGTTGTTTTATCATTCAAGGTTTGGTCTGAATTTCCAACTTCTAGAATTTTGAAAGTATAGACTTACTTCGTCAGGTTTTCGCCTTTACTTATGTGGGCTTATTTCCCATATATAACTTAATTTTACTTTTTCAATATCATTCATTTTTAATCATTTTAAAATGTGCTAGTGTAGTCACTACTCATTGAATCAACATATTCATACATAATAAACTAGAATGAAATGCTATCATAAATATAACAAATGTGAAGTTGCAAATATATAAATGTTTACTATTCCCTATGATATCATTTGGGTATCTCATCTCATTTCCTAGCCAAAATAAAACATGGTTGTAAAAAAATTACAACTTTTGATGCTCTTTTTGTAATATCCTAAATATGAGGTATGTTTTCAATATTTTGCAGAATAATATTTAAGCAATAAGCAGAACATGGAGACCAACATATATTGTCAAATCTTTCATGTAGTAGTTCTCATGCCTTCTTGTAGTTTGTTGCATTATTTGTAATCAGTTGCACAACATTCTGTGATCCTACATACTCCACAACTTCACAAAATAATTAACCGAAGTCGTGACATCCTTTGTAATATCAAAACTATCCATAGATTTCAAGAAAGTTATATCCCAAGGATAATATACAAGAAAATTAATTAAGCTCATATTCTTGTTGTCTATTCAACCATCAGCCATGAGTGAAATCATCAGCAGCAATAAAGGAGGTTATGCTTTTTCTTGACAATTTAGAAAGCTTTGACAAAACAATCATATTAACAATGACCAAAGAAATGCAGCCTGGTAAGTTAAACAATCATTTTAATATGCATTTTTTTTTATGCATATCAATCACTTATTAACTAATTAATATTTAATTGTTTATAGATGAAAATTTTCTTGCATATCAATCACTTATTAACTAACTAATATTTAACTGTTTATAGATGAATGGTGAAAGATATTTGGATCAAGTGCACCAAATTTGCAGAAATTGACTGTTAAGATTTTTATTCAAATATATTCATCTTCTTGATATGGAAGAAATATGAGTATATTTGAGCAAATTCACATCAAGAGACGAAATCATCTAGAGCATCAAAGTCTTAATGATTTTGTATTTGTTTTCTACAATATCAATTTGAGGCATATGTATGATTGTATGAGTTTTAATTACATTTAAATATTTTTGTATAGAAAGATACATAATTTTTTAATAATTATTCATATTAATTTTATAGATTTCAAATTAAAAAAAGAAACTATGATCCTTTGGATTATACAAATGAAGAATCAATTTTGGAGCTTCTTTTGGAGAATTACAGACTGAAATTTATGCAAAAGTTGTCACTCCTATTATTGAAAAAGTAAATATTAGTTGTATTAGAGAATCTCAAAATAAATTCTCAATTGAATTAAATTATATATCATTTTAAAAAGATGTTCAATATAGATATAATATTTTATATTTCTATTATGTTGATGATGATGTTTTTAGATAATGTTAAAGATGATCATAAAATACTTGAAAGTGATGATATTGATGCATTTGGAGGGGAAAGTTTTGATGAAAGAGAATTTAGATATTCAACTTTTGATGCTTTAAATCTAGGAGATGCCTTCTAGATTTATTTGTATATTTATATTTGAATTGTTATGTAATCATGAATGGTTAATTGAGAACTACTCAAACACTTTATCTCCTTTGTTTTAAAAAGAGTTCCTTTGATTATTTGTTTATATTTTTTTATTCATAATTTTTTATTATATTTAATTTTTTATCACATAATTTAAAATTATAGCATCATTATTATGATAATTTTAGTATTTATTATGTCATCATATTCAATTTTGGTTCGATCAGTTTAAATGTGAACCTCTCATTCTTTTGGTTCGTTTTTCGGTCCAATTTTCACAGCCTGGTCGTTCATATATCTCTCTCTTCTCTATATTTCCAATCTTAACATTGAATTTTATTCACTGTTTCCAAGACCTGTGCCTCTTTGCCATGTGTAACATCTTACTGATATACTGTATTAATTGGTATCAAAGTTCACATTGTTGGACCTATTGTCACTTTCTTGATTCTTATTCCGTAAGGGCAACTGTTAAAGAATAATACATGTTTGATTTACAAATGAAGTGACACTGCATTGACGGGCAATTATGTCAACTAGCTGGAAGTGGCTTTCCAATTAGCGCAAGAGAATCTCTCAAATAGTGTAAAACTCTTTATTGATATACATGCCATCTTTTATCTTGAATAATATTAGGACTCTTGCCACCTAACAATTATATTTAAAGACTTAGGTTCCATTTGAAATGTTTTTCTTACTGTATTTTAAAGCAATTTTTTTTATAAAAAAAGAAGATTTTTTACTAAAAAAATTGCTTTATGAAACAACAAGAAAACTATCCCAAATGAAACCTCATTTACTACTAAAAAATTTATATAACCTATATCCTTATTGTAGTTGTACTACAGTTGCAGGTACTTCTTACCTAGTCCCTTCCATCCAATAGATTACTGATCCAAACTTCGTCATTCGGCCTGTTTAGGTATCCCGGTCAATCGGAGATGCATACCTTAAGAAACCTGAGTTCAGTAGAGACCCCTTCTTCAAGCAGTTTGTCATCCCTTTGAAGCGGCCTGTCATTACTGCCGAGCCATCTATTCGGATGCATAAATTAAGAACCCATGACTTGTTCTTGATTTTTGCATCTGATGGTCTTTGGGAACAACTAAGTGATGAAGCTGCAGTGGAGATAGTCTTCAACAGCCCAAGATCAGTACGTGTTCTCTTGCACTTCCAACTTGATGATCTCTTACAGAACGGACCTTTTTTGCATTCACTAACATTGAAAGTTCAATGCAGGGAATAGCTAAGAGATTGGTGAGAGCAGCTCTCAACGAGGCTGCGAAGAAGAATGAAATGAAATATGATGATATCAAAAGATTAGAGAAGGGAGTAAGACGACACTTCCATGATGACATCACAGTCATAGTGATTTACCTTGACCATCATCAACATCATGAAACAAATCAAAGATTTAAAGGTCAGATTTACAATTGCATCAGCGCTCCTGTTGATATATTCTCCCTCAATACTCATGAATCTGTTGACAATTTTCACTCATGAAACTGGACAAATTATTCTGTGCGGAGTCCAAACGTCGTTCAGAGACCAATAAAAATGCGTTATGTCACCTCAAAAATTACCGCACTTCATACCGAACTTAATACCGAGCGGTACTGAACGGTTCTCTCATCCGGTGTCCACACAGAATAATCTTTCCTGAAACTGATGATAAGCCGCTGTAAATCTCTAATGCATCCCGTCACTCTTTGTTACATAAAAATTTAACCATTCCTGAATGGCAATACTTGTTTGTCTTCAGATATTGGCTTGTTACTGAACACTAACAGGATATAACGCATCTTTCCAAGCCGTGATGGTGAAGAAAATGTAGGCTTACATGTGCTTAGCGAGAATTTTACCATTTGTTTGGTTTGTATCTTGCAATTGATTTTTTGCTCCATAATAAAAGCATGGCTTTAGAGTTCCAAACTCCATTAAATTTCCATTTTAAGTCAATCTCACATTCTCACTCGAGTAATGCAAACATTATAAAAGCATAACAAGTTTAAGTTGGTTCGCAACCTTCGCTTGAAGGTGCTTTACATGCACTAAGTGCTACTACCAAACATAGAAAAAGAAACAAAAGGGAAAATTAACCTCAACATCAAAGACAGCTAAACTAAGACACCGGATACAACCTAACCTCATCCAAAACAGGCCCACACAAGGTTCCAGGATCATTTAACTTAGTATGGTAAAATGAGCTGAAGAAGGTGATCCTTGTTCTTATCCCCAATGCCTTGAACTTGAGACTTGCAGCCACATATTTACCAGCTCCAGTGGAATTATAGGGAACCTTAACTGTGCTATTGCCTGCGAAAGCTTCAATGAGCATCGATCCATGGCAATCATTCTTCGCATCTCCAACGACAAAGGTGAGGTTGTATGACTTGTTAGGAACGGTTCGAACAATTTGAGCTATTGCGCTCTCCCTTCCCGCAAGAAGCTCGACAGCATATTGGCCAAAAGGCACGGAGAAATGCGGCGAGTCGATGTATTTTACCGCCTTGAGGGATTCAATTATCCATCCAAGAAGAGGAGAATTGGCATCTTCTTGCTTCGGAGGGAGGAGAGTACCCGATGATGAGTTTTTGAAGACATGAGGTCCTATTTCATAACCTCCATTTTTAACCAAGTTACCTGCAAAATAAACTTGTTTTCCTTAAGCCTTATAATAAGTTTTAATGGATTCCCTTCATATATTGGATAAAGAATAAATAGCACTTATGATTCATAAGACATTGTCCTTATCCTAAATTAACTGATGAATAAAGGAATAACAAATTTTATCTTCAGAGACGACAACAGTGAATGTGAATCAAACAGATAATAAATAATGGCTTTAAATGCGCCATTAAATCTACATGCCACCATTTGAATGAGCATCTTTTGATAAAGAAGGTTTATCAGTTGCTGTTATAAAACTATTTAAAGAAGAAATATAAAAATTTTATTTTAAAAGCTGCATTTGAAAATAAAATTTCAAATGTTGCTTGGAAATACAGGAAAAGAGCCAAATAAAATAAGCAATATATGAAATAATGAGCATAGGATGAAAAACCTAGCACAATACACAATGAAATTACTCTTGTCATCATTCTGCTCAATCAAAAAACAAGGCTACTGTAGAAATCTTATTGCATTGGGTAAAGTTTGGGGCCAAATTTTTAGTCCCACATCGCATTACTCATAGAAAAAAGTTGAACAAAACAGTCCATAAACCTTTTCCTACAGCTTAAATATTCGTTAGCCCCTCAATATTTTATCTTCAAGAAAGAGATCACTAATAAACGTATCTGCTAACAACAAAACAGTCTCTTGGTTTGGCCTTAATCTAAGTTATTGCATGCTATAGTTTGAAATCTCCATGTTTTTTCTTCACTTGTATGAGAAACAAAGAATTAAATGTAAGGCAACATGTTTGTATTCATTTATGTTGTGTTATCATCATCATTTGCTTACAAATTACCTCAACACATCACATGTATGTATTAGACTAAAATTTTAAGAGCTGTTTTGATTTAAGTAGTATTTCGTAAATCCTCTAAATCCGGATATCGAAAATCCCGAGGGACCTAAATCCTAAAAACTGTTTGGTAACATTCATGATAAATCCTATTAAATTCTGTGTTACTGTTTGACTATAGAACAACGAACTCTTCCTCTAGAGCCAATGAATTTCATAAATCCGGCAAAAAACTTGATTTCCGAAATACCATTCCAATTCTTCTCACCAAAAATACTACCAATTAAACTCTTCAGATATAGGCTTCGTTTGGACGGCTTTTTTATTGCTTTCTAAAATGGAGTTCTAGTACAATTTTTTTTTTTTTTTTTTTTTTTCTAAAATTCAGTTTTAAAAAGCAATAAAAAAGCCGTCCCAAACGAAGCCATAAAGTATTCATTGATCAATTACCTCTAGTAGGAGTAACAGGAATAAGCTCCTTGATAGCCACTGCATCTATAAGAGGGCCACATGCAGGATCCTCTTGCACACCAATATTGCGGAAAATGACCTGAGCACTTGAAGTGGCTGCTTTAAATGCCCAAGCATACGTGTCTCCTCCATCGCTGCTATAGAGGGTTTGAAGAGGGAGATCGCCGGAGTAAGGCGGCACAGAGACTCTTAGCACCTCGTCCTGCGCGCAGGTCCTCGACGCGCCAAAGGTGAGAGAGTAAAAGGAGCCTGGCTTAACACTTATGTTCTGCGAAATGGAAGCCTCGTTGCCAAGGCGCACGGCATGGTCGCCGTGAGCCACCCGGAAGTACATTCCACCAGGCTGAGGTCCGCCGGAAATGTACTCAACCAAGCCATGGATGGTCCAGTTGGGGAGGGAATGTTTACCCAGGATCCTCGTCTTGTTCAGCTTGGAAGGTTTGGGTGCAATCTCAAAGCTTCCATTAAGAAGGAATTCTGCTCCATAACAGATACAACAAACGTCATTACAGATCTGCTTTCAGGACAAAATGAAATGGCTTAAAAGTTGTTTGAGGAAATGCGTTGAGTTAGAGGCCAGTTCTGAACAAAAGTAGCAGAAATCAAAATTACCATACCAAAATGCAAGCACACAGAACTCCAAAATCAACACTTTGTAACACCAACTTAGTCAAAAACAACATCAAACGAAGAAAAACTAGCTTAAAACTTAAAAAGATCAAGCCAAAGGAGAGCAAACCATCAAGTTCCTGAGCTGGAAGAGCATAACTGGCGCAGAAGAGGCAGAGAAGCAACACACTGAGAACCCTCATCTCCTCGAATAGTAGTCGCTGGATTGGCCGAAGCAGACGGAAAGCTTATTTTAATACTCAGCTTCAGTTCTGGTGCTCCTCCGGAGCTCTCACCCTCTGCAGTTTTCAAATTAAAAATCGAAACAGCACTCAAAAAAATAATTATATTCACCCACAAAAAACAATTAAGCATAAAAAATGATTTTTTGAGATTTTTTTTTTAATTTAAATATTAAATTTATAAATATAATCATCTTTATTCAATCACTCTACCTTAGATCATTTATTAAATATCATAAAAATTATATTTCAAACTTACGTCAGTGACATTATTGATAATAATTTATATTATAATATTATAAAAAAATATGAAAAATATATATTCGATATATAAATATAAAAATTTATAATATTTTATACATTTTAAATTTAGTAATTTTTCCATTCATTCTCACCTATTTTTTCCCATTGAAACGTTCCATTTGCATGCAATGTTCCAGCGGTACAGATTAAGATGGCTGTTTTAAAACATAAATCATCTACGTACGACAAATCCCTGTCGGGCCGCTGCAAGAACAGGGCTCAATTCAAGGAAGAAGGCGGTGCGCTTGGACCAATTAATTGGACCGGCCAATAAACCTCGAGGTGCGCCCGAATTTAAAATTACCTCGAAGTTACAAAATGAGGTCGTTTTTTTGGGTTTAGGGTTTATAAATTACGCGGGTCCATCTGCCCCGTCCAATTTATGAATTTAAGTCGTACCCTCACGATGATCTTGGCGCAATTTCCTGCACTTATTCCACCGACAAGCGGAAGCCCGCATACTTGAATGGTGCGTAAACCTGGCCCAATTAGCGCGTGGATTAGTGAATTCGGATCGGATCGCAAGTGGACCACTGCAACCCGATAACCGCATTTCGCGCCAAAACCTCGGGACTCGGGAGTCATTCCATATGATTCTGTCGGAACCTCGAAATTCGCTCCGTGATTATTATTTTTAATTAATTAAAACTAAAACTTAATTAGTGTTGTTTAATGATAGATTTCTTCAAACTAATTAAATTATATACAAATCAATGATTATAAATAATATATTATATTTATACATGTAATAATTTTAATTAATAATTTTCATATTTTGCTATTAGATCTGAATTAAATTTGATTTGCCGGAACGCAAGCTCCACATCACCACTAGAGTGGAGCTTCTCATACGGATTGGGTAGAAATTTTTAAAAGTTGGGATTTATCATAAATAAGAAAAAATAATATTGAATTAATTCGGAATTCTAGCTTAGTGATGTTTGATTTGATGTAAGTGTGCGTAATATAATATTTTGACATAGGTTTTGAATTAATGAAATAAAATTATTTTTCATTAAATAAAGTTTAAAGCCCCCAAAAATTATACTCAAATATAATTAGGATTATTGTATGAAAAATGAAATAATTAAAAACTTGATCCAAATAGGCCTTAAAATTAAATATTAAATTGTCAAGATCTTTAATAGCAAAACTGACATTATTAAAATAATGAAAGATTATCAGGTGATAAAGTATGGAGGGATTGTGTTTTCCAGGTGACAATGGACAGAGGGATCATAGTCGGTAGGCGGCGAACATAAAAAAGTTGTAGTTAGCGGGCGACTGTCATTGGAGGAATCGTAATTAGGTGATGGAATTCGGAGGGATCATAATCGGCAGGTGCTTGTAATCAAAGAGGCCCTAGTCGAGCGACGGAGATTGGGGGGACTGAAGCCAGGAGACTTGGGTCAAGAGAATACTTAAGCTAACATTATACTATCATCTAATAATAACTCATGCGTTCCAAGTCTATAATTACCATTATAAACGATGTTTATCTAATTCATATCAACTATATTATATTAGTGCATTCTCATTCATACTTTTAAGATTTTGCTCATAAATAAAACATGTCAATTCATGATATATTTTGTTTATAACATACTTATCATTTCTAATGTGATATAAGTTATAACAATTTATGTATGGATTTAGGCTTCATTTGGTACAGTTATCTTAATATCTTTTAAACTTTTTTTTTAGTATAAAATTTTTTAAATAAAAAATTTTTATATTTAAAAATTATTTTAAAAAATACTAAGTAAATTGTCCCAAAAGAAATCTCAAATTGTTAGAAATTAGTGAACATATTATTTTTATATTTGAAATAATAATGTAATAAGTTATTCTAGGGGTATCAAAATCGGGTAATGTGTTGGGTTTGAGTTGAACCCGATATTGACACGTGACTGTTTGACCCGACTCGAAGACGACTCATTTTTACAAACTAGTCAAAAAGTTCAACCCGGAAATGACTCGTCGGGGTTCCAAGTTGACCTGACTCGACACAAAATCGATGTGAGTCCCTCTCGCGACCCTTCGTCATTGTTTATTTGTTACATCTGATCCAACTGTAGAAATGTGACTCGACAAACTCACTAAAGTCGTCGACTTCGTTACTTCTGATATGTTTGTAGAATGGCGACTTGACGAGCACCCTCCCGTTATCGATATTGTTACTTCTGATCAAACTTCCGACTATGCAAGCTCCCTTCCATCGTGGCGTCGTCAACTTCGTTACTTCTAATCCAACTACAAAACATGAGAATGGGCGAGCTCCAAGCTCTCTTGAGTCTTGATTTCCGACCCGACTGGAAGGAACGTTGTAGAAAGAGGCGAACACGTGAATTGGGAAGCCGTGAAGCAGGCCGACTATGCTTGCAGCCCTGTGCGAAATGGATTCACCCAGAATCGGGTCAGATACGGGTCAACTTCCGGTTAGCAGGTTGACCCAAATCTGAACCCGACGAGTCAATTTTTCAAACGAGTCAATTTTTAGAACGGATTAATCCTAATCCGAAATTTTTTACTCAATTTAAAATCGAGCTTTTAGGCCATGTAAAACATTGACATTCCTATGTTATTCATTGAAGAGTCGTGCAGTTTTAAACTTAGTAAATTAATAAAAATGCTCGTCCTGCTTGCCATTACTACCCTGCGCGCATTCCTCGTGGTGATGCCCACTGTTCTCATAAATAGTGACAAGATCTATTGGATTTAAGCAGGACTGAAGTGGTTGCCCCACATTCATTGTGATACCCAACTCCTCATACATAATGAGAAGATCTAACAAGAATATTAATGATCAATTAAAAATTGAATTATTTTGTTAATTTTAATTATATCCAACGAACCAATCAATAAAAATTCAAATTAGATCACAGTTTTTCCCTTATAAATGAATATAGAGATAAAATAATTAGCTAGTCTCTGCTTTTAAAGATGAAATTATACAATTAAGATTAGTTATTTTATTTTCATTACAGGGATAATAAAAATCAGATGTCTAAATGCTACCACGCCTTTACAAAAATTTAAAAAACCTTTTTATCATATTCTTATTTATGGCTATCAACTTATCCCCGCTTCTGATACATAAATGATAGACCAGTCACAATTTGAGTACGACGACTTTTACATTATAAATATATATTACATGAAAATATAGTCATTGTAAAAGCTTCTTTTCTATATTCATGTTCTTGATTTTCACTAATGCAAAATCTCTCCGCTCCAACAAAAGCTTATCATGTCAGAATTCGGCGATCTTGGGCTCGTTGGATTCTTCTCGTCGAGCCGTTCGATTCGAGTATAAGCTCGTCAAAATCGGAGACCGTTTGGTAACTCAAATTGCGGTTTGAACCTTCCAACAACGCTTTGAGTCCTTGATTCGGACTCATTTGAACTCGGATTGGGTTGATCTTGGTGACGTTGGGTTCATATTTCCTAGACGCTCAGTTTGACTGTAAGCTCGCTGAAATCGGAGTTCATATGCTCCCGAAATTAATTTTTGAAGTTTCCAACTAGTTTTTGCCTCGAGATTCGTGCCCGATCAAGATGATTTTGCGATGTCGTATCACTGCTCAAATGAATTTATCCTGTATTTATAACCAATACGTCAAGATCGAGCATATGAAGGCTTTGCCTCTTGCAGATAGGAACTTTTATTTTGTCCAGTGAACGTACGCAGAGGAAGGTTCGGTTTTAGGCAAAAAAGCGCCTGTACCGAGGTGTACCGAGTTTTTTGAAAAAACTCGGTACACCTCGGTACAGGCGCTTTTTTGCCTAAAACCGAACCTTCCTCTGCATCCTTGCACCGGACCAAATAAAAGTTATGCAGATAGAGAACAATTTTGTTTTGATATATAAATCCAAATTTTCAAATATGTATGATTGACATAACTTCATAGCTCGTAAACTCTATAAATATTTTTTAGAAACATATACATTGGATGCACTAAATATATACTTTTAAAATTTCCTAACCTTTAATTTAAAATTTCCGTTTATTGCATTGTGATGTGATTTTTTGGTTTAAATCATATCAACTCTTGAATGTTACCTATCTTTTATATCTATTGAATAAAAACTCAAACATGAGGTCATTACATTAGAATCCATTGATTTAGAGGTATGTTTAAGTAGTGACATTTAAGTGTAATTAAGAATTATCCATGTGTTCATTATGCAATACATATGTTACACCTGTTCAAACTGCCCAATCTGATAAGAGACAAGTTATGTATAATAGAACTCATGCAATATTCTCTACATGGTTTTGTGGCTTGTGAGTATTTTTATTCATATAAATGTTTCTGAAGCGGGTCTCAAGAGTCTATGTGTATGAATAGGAGATCTGAAAAAAATTTCCTTGATGGCGTCGTGGTGCTGGGGTAGGCGGTGTTGTAGTATTGAGCTTTGTGAAACTTCTTAAGTAAAATAAGCTAAACTCTTAAACATTAAGGTGCATTTGGGTAAATGGTTATAATTTTACTAAGAAACTTTGCAATTAAGTATGCTCATCTGAGAAAAATCTTGGGATGGGTGACCTCATAGGAAGTTACACTAACTAAATAAAATTGTGAGGCCCTTAGGCCGAAGCAAATAATATCTCAATAGCTGAGAGTTTGAGTTGTTACAAATGGTATCCGAGTAATACACTAGATAAAGTGCTACGCCATGGGAGCATCCTCTTAAACCCTATATGGGACAAAGTGCTAAATGGTGGGAC